AAATTAAATTGTCTAATATAATAAAAAATAGTTTGGTGCTGTCGGGCTCAGAGTCTGAGAGGCTTTTCCTTTATCAAACAGTTATTTTTTGGCCTCTTAGTTAGTGGAAATATTGATGTTGATGAGATTTTCTCCTAAATTAAAACCTTTTTCAACCTTTATAGCTCCACTGTTGAAAATGAGGCTCTAACATTCACAAATGACAGTGAAATAAAATCCAGTCCAACATCTGGTTTGAGGTGATTCCTCTGGAACCTGTTGGAGGAAAAACATCCCAACTTCAGAAGATGAACTTTAACCTATCAGAGCTCTGTGGTTCCTCCTGTCAGGGTGAGGAGGAGCCATGTTGGGAAGATGAAGCTGGAGGATCTTCAGAACAAACTGGTCATGATGCTGGGCTGCTGATTATCCCTCTGTCTGGACACAGGATCAATAGAACCAGTTTAAAAGATAAAATGAATGGTTATATGCCAGACATGGAAAACTGGGATGACTCCATGAAGTTCAGGATTTAGGTCTCCTGGCATCTCAAGGTTCAACATGGCAGCCAGTGGGCTGAAGGAGATACAGCTTTATATTGTTGCAATTCAAGAGCTACCAGCTTTTATCACTTCACAAAAAAATTAATCAGCACAGAAACTCCAAAGCACAAAAAGAAGCAACTGTATGGCAGATGGCAGAGTTATGGTTATATTTGTCATGTTTGTAATGATGGCAAACAACTCAGATATTGATCAATTATTCACACCAACTTAAAACTAAATATATGCAGCATTATTGTTATTGTACATGTTTATTGTGGAGGACCAAAAGAGTTGTGGATCTATAACAATTCCACACTGATTTTGACTCAATAGGTCACATGACCTAGAAGCTATTGAAGAGAAATACTAAATTTAAACTAAAAAAAATGGCTAACAAAAATAAAAATTTAGTTAAAATTTAATAAAAATGCATGTGCCTCATATATGGAGTTTAGTACAATTACACACTGACTTCTAGTCAATGTGGCACACAATATGGAAGCTATTGAAGAAAACATATTTAACATTAAAGTTATTTAAAATATTGAATATGACTTGGCATTTTAATAGAGGGCTATGTGTCTCATGTAAAGGCATGAATTACCACTTTTTGGTATCAGTTGGTCACAAGGCATTTATTAACATTTGTTTGACAGGAGTGAAGCGCTAAGGAGGGAGCAGGAGATCGGCTGGCCGAAATTAGCGTTCATAAATCGGATCATCCTTGAGATAAACGCCGCTTGTTCGGCGGATATTGGAATATCCAATATCCAATTCGAAACTAACGTCACTGCAGTCAGTAACACAATAAAACCACCGGGATGAAGTTTATTTTGGTCTGTGGCCTGTAAAGATGGCACCAAGCGACTGGACCTAAACTTTTTTTCCCCCATTGACAATAAAGGGGTTTACAAAATAGCAAAATTAACACAAATAAGTAAAACAGACAATAATGCCAGGGTGTTACATAGTGTGACCAGCAGGTGGAGATCTTTTTAAAAGTTACCAGATGCACCCGAACACAGACTGAGCAGTGCACAATATTTTATTCAATTTCCTTAAAACATTTCTTTTTGTAAAAACGAGGCTTCAGGCCTACTACTTGGTCCCTGGAACAAAAAGGAACACATAAAGGACAGACAAGTTCAATTATTCCAAAAGAAAAACAAAACATGCAAAAGAAATTAGTAAAAACAAACAAGAAAGCAAATTAGTAACTTCAATAACACACAACAAATAAACTGTAAAAGGAAACACTTCAAAGAATGGAACAAATTGTTGTCATCCACTTCCAAATGCCCTTCGAAGGGGCCAGAGGAGTAATGCCCAGCCCAACCAGCAACAGGTTTAGTTGAGAGCGGCCCAAACAAACAACGGCAAAACAGCAGAGCGTCCAAACGCTGCAGCTCCAAACACAATCAGGTGCCTGAAACAGAAAATCCATTAAAGGTGGATCCAGATAAAAGAAATAAAAAGCTAAATCGCAGGTAGCTTACCCAGGGGTGGAGACTCAGCCTAACCCGGGAGGAAGCGGGTCAGCAGGTGAGGACCAGATGGAAGCCACAGCAACCTCCAGCTGCAGTCGGTAATGCCATTAGAGCACCACTGCAGAAACGGACGATAGGTGTAGCACCCAAAAACCAACCATGATCTCAGCCACGGATAGCAAAACAGGCGCAGACGAGCCGATCAAACACACAAGTCAACATGTAGCCGCCGATTGTAGCAACAGTGGGAGAAACAAAGACACAGAACACCATCCCACCACAATAGGAAGCACAAACAAAATGAAAAGGAAGAATATAAATAAAAAGTTAACTCAGAAAGATGTTAGAGTGAGAGCACATATCCATTGTCTTAATGGCTTTTCTAGTTTTTTAATACTGGAGAGATGTAATATATTGTTTGTGTCACGATCCGTGTTTTTGTGTTTATGAGTTTTCTGTGTTCAGTCCTGTTTCCCTGTGAGTCTCTGTCCTGTCCTCCCCGTTGATTGCTCCCCAGGTGTGTCTCATTCCCTTGATTACCCCGTGTGTATTTAACCCCACCTGTTGTCTTTGTCTGTGTCGGATCCTCGTCGTATGTATTGTGGTTTGTGTTTGCTCCGTCTAGTCCGTTTGACAGTTGCTACCGGTATTTAGCTGTGTGCTTGCCTCTCGCCGTGCTGCCTGTCTTGGACTGTTTTTGAGCTTATCTCTTCATTAAACCATCATCATCACCATAACCTGGGTCTCAGCGTCTCTCCACACCACCAACACCTCCCACCTCATGACAGTTTGAATTCCTCTTTAAAGCTGGAGATGGGCACCAGCACCCCTCCCGACCCCACAAAGGGACAAGGGTGTAAAGAAAATGGATGGATGGACGGGTTCCTCTTTAAAGGCTGAAAAGCGAGGTTTCTGATTTGAGAATTTAGATTTATGTATATGATATTTTGCAACTAATAAAATTAGGTTGATAATATAAAAATAATTTGTTTTATTAGTGGGATAAGAGAAGAATCCAAACAACATATTTATATAAGTGAGGGAAAAGTCATCAAGAATTGTTTGAGAAATAAACGTACAAATATCTTGCCAGAAAATACATGAGGAATACCATGACCAGAATAAGTGACAGAGTTCTTCTTCATAGTTTTCAGAATGAACAATTTGTGTCAATGTCTTTTTTGTATTGTTGAAGGAAAAACTTGCAGGGATAAAAACGATGGATTATCTTAAAAGACACTTATTTGATCTTATTAATAATTAAATATTTAGATGGAAGACACCAGATTTTTTTCCAGTTCAGGTTGGGGGCAAAGTTATTCCAATAAGAGATAACATTAGGAACAGAGACGATGCCCTTCTGGAATAAGGCACGTACATCATGGTTGTTCTTTTGCTTTCTTGTGGAGTCAGAACAGAAGTTACAGAAGATTTAAGAAGCATTAAAACACCAGACGGGATGCATATTCAAATAAGCGCATATTCCTTTGGTAGTATGGGGAGACCAAACCTTTCTAGAAGTTCAGAATAAGACATTAAGACACCATCAGGACTAAACAGCTGCTGAACCAAGATGATTCCATGTTCAAACCAATTTTCCAAGAATAAAGATTTATGTTTGTAGAAAATGTCTCCATTGTTCCAAATATAATATCGATGGGGTGAAAAATTGTGCTTGTAAATTAGAGACCAGAAAAGAAGCATTTGTTTGTGGAAATTAGATAGCTTTATGGGTATTTTTTAAATTTTGCAGTTGCAAAGGAGAATAAATTAAAGCCACGCGACTGCACCTAAACGCCCCAAAACGTCTGACGCAGTGACGTTGGTTCCAAAGCTCTACTGGCCAATAGCAGAGGAGCTGGCACAGAAGGCAGCTCTCCTCATTAACATAACGATGCACACGGAAAAGTAAAAACGGGAGAGGAGGCCATGACAAAAGAACGAGGCCTTGTATAAGGAAAAGACTAAACAAAATATTTGCTTTTCTTGACGAAAACGCATGTTTAGGGGAAATGAAAAAGAAAACATATTACTTAACGGAAACTCGTGTAAGGAAAAGGAAAAACTAAATACACATTTATGCTTTTATTTCTTATGTCGGTTTTGGTCCTCCATACCTGCCAACCTCTGAATATGTAGAGAGAAAATTATTACCTTTAATCATTCACACTTTTTTTTAACCCGGGTCTTCACACAGAACGAGCAATAATGCAACAATGCGACATTGATTATTTGACAACTGAAAATTAAACCGCAACCTTAGATTAACACATCTGACAATAGAAGACAGATATTAATAATTTACCTAGGAAACAACCTGCATGGCCACCGGAGGGCGCCGTGCACCTTAGTGAGCAGCCCGTGAAGCTGAAGAAGAGGAGGAAGAGGAAGAGTATGGCGGATGGCGGAGGGAAGCCGCTGCAGAGCGCCATGAAGATGGCCAAGCAGGCGATCCAGCTGGAGGGGGCAGACAGGCAGCAGGTAGGCGGTTGCTCTTCAGTGGACGGCAGGATCAAAGCTCCGGCAGAAGCCGACCGGAAGTGACGATGTATGGGAATGTAAACAAACATGGGGGCGGAGGCTGTTCCAGCTGTCATGTCCAGCAAAGCCAGTAAACAGACCAGCTGCGGGAGCTTGACCGGTTATTATGGTCATAATGTTGGTAAAAATTGGGCAGAAGCTCCTGATGGACCGGAGAGGTTCCCCACATTTACCCCCAGAGGTGGTAGTTTACCCTCTGATGGTAAATTTGTATATATTAACCCTCCTCCGGATCGCTGGACCCTCCAGACTCTCTGACCTCTGAACCCTGAAACCTCTCTGGAGGAATCCTCTCCTTCCTCAGTCTCTTGATGGGGTAAATCTGAAACCCGTTCACATTCTTTCCAGCTGCCTGATGAACGTAGATCTTTATTTTATTTTGGCTCGGTCCTGGTTCTGGTTCTACTGGACTTCTTTCCTGTTAAAGGGGAGTTTTTTCTCTCCACTGTCGCCCCCTGCTGATCCAGGAGGAGTGAGTCAATGCTCTGCTGGGTTTCCTGAGATAAAACCAGTTTAACTGGTTGGAATAAAGAACTCGACTAAACTGGAACGGGGTTGGAGTGACTGAATATTTATGAAGATAAATCTGTTTTTCAATAAAGTAACATTTATTTTTACTTCAACTGTTTGGAGAATGTTGTTCTGGTTACTTCTGGAGGAAATCCTCAGGTTGATCTGGTGCGAAATTCATGTCACCATGACCAGATATTACAGCTGATGTGTTTCTGTCTCTGCAGGAAGCTTACTGCCAATACCTGCGAACGATCAACTACATATCACACATTCTTCTGCAAGAAGGTGAGCCTCAAAGAGCTGCATGTTAAATAATAAATATATTTGGCTGCTTTGTAGAATATAAGCTTCAAATCATTAGTTTCTTATTCGGCAGTTTCCAGTGAATTACTTCATTTTACATAAAGCAGACCCACTTATTGATAGATGCAGTAATATTCATTATTTCCAGACTTGAAATCATAATTTACTGACATTTATTTAATATAATCACATCTCAGAATAGCTTGATGACCCGCATTAGCAGCTGTGTTCAGTGAAAAGTATGAGGAGGGAGAGACGCGGTTTGCTGGTTCTGACATGCTGCTGCCGCTGCAGCTCCTCAGGCTTCACCTGGTTTACCTGGCCAGGTTCACACACCAGGGGCCTCATGCATAAAGCGGCGTGCACACAGAACATGTGCGGCGCCATATTTTACGCACAAGTCGGCATGTATAAAAATTAACTTTGCGTCAAAGTGTGCATAAATCCCATATATGCACACTTTTTCGCTGGCGTGAAAATGTGCGGCAGCCACACAAACTTTTTCTATGAACAATATCAAACTACAAAGTGTCAAAAGTCACCTAAATACGCTGAAATCTGACGACATTAAGTGTTTTTTTTATACCAATAAGCATCAAACCTGGTGGGTTTTTTTTCATGATTTTATTTTATTTTTATTTTTATTTATTTCATTTTATTTACTTTTTTTTTTTTTTGCTTAAAAGCAAACTAAAAGTGAACCGCATTTATCCCCAGACAATAAAGTAACATGAACACAAAATAAAAATAAAAGTATATGAAAACCTCACTCGAATGTAAATACAGTGATCCCTCGTTTTTAATTAGGTGTTGCGTTCCGAAAATAACCCGCGATCAGTGAAATCTGCGAAGTAGTTACCTTTAGTTTTTACAGTTATGACACAGCATAAATAAATACTCTACATTGAAACCAAAGAACAAAACCTGATTCCAGGTCAGCGGATGTGCGTGTTCATCAATCGGGCCTTAATCTGATCCGCAGTCGTAGCATTAAAGCGTCTCCTCCAATCTGCCCCGAGAGATTCACAGCTGGATCTATGGCAGAGCGATGGAGCTCGTCAAGCGAGCCTCCGGTCGGGTTCTGCTGCCTCTGGCCACAGATTTTTTAATTTTTAATTTTTTTTTCCAG